TGACAAACAATCTTCTCTGACAAACATCCATTTTCCTTTTGTTCCAGCAGGACCTCTACGTGGTTCTCAGCTTCTTCTGTGCACCTTTATTTGTTTCATCACTTGACAGACCCACGCTGTGCCCAGAGCCTTTTGGGTACTCGGGGGCCATAAGACTGATGGCAGGCAGAGTGACTAATGTTTGCACCTTCAGCAAAAGGCACACTAAAGCACATGCCAAACTAGCAATTTTAATGAAAACCATTGGCACTTCACACCTATGAGACCTCAGTTCAGACAGAGTTGCCAAGTTTGGCTGAAACAAGCCAATAAATATAGAAGCTATTGAAATGTGTTGGACAAGTGGGACAGAAGAAGAAAAAGTGTGAGTGCAAAAAGTTTTCTTTGAAAAATCAAGCAACTGAAAGAACAAAGAAGCCTTTCAACAACTGAACTGTCACCCTGGCTCAGGATTGGATATGAAATACTGCAGTTATGCTACTGACCATCTCTATTTTTTCAGATAAAGATGTGTAAACTGTAATTTTATTAATACCTGGATCACAACAGCTGAGTCCCATTTAAAATAAACAAACGGTGTTAAACTAGAAGATGAACAAGAGTTATCAGACTAACAATAAAGAGACTCTAATTGAAGTAATTTCCTACCCCTCAAGCGTGTGATTAAACTGGATTATTCCCTATCAAATGATCTAGAAGCAAACTTACTTCGAGGAAAGCATAGCATAGCTATCCAACTGCTCAAGGGACTCCTCCTCTGGGCTCTTTGGGTATAAATTCTGAACATATCATTTAGCTCTATTGGCAGGAATACAAATGGGTTACTACTTTCATTTAGAGTTGCTCACCAAAATTTTTAAGCCAAGTTGTGACCCAAACTACAAATCAACACATCCGCTGTTAGCTGGGACTTAGAATAGGCCATAGAAATCGAAGTGTTACTTCTAGTAACATCTGCATAAATACTTTGCAGTTTTCTCTTTCTTTTTATTACAAAATCCAACTCCATAGCTAAAGGAAAAAATTAGAGGAGAACAGCATCACTAAGAGCAAGATGGCAGCAACATAGATTCGAGATTCAGAGAAGTTCAACACTGGTTCTTCTCCTGCCCCTCCAGATACAAACTGTTCGAAGGATAGAAATGGGCTGTACTAATTCCATTCTGTAAATCAACAGAATAAATGTCTTTATTTTCTGTAATCCTCCCAGACATGCAACATTTATTAAACAGGGAAAAGACTACCCTGTTAATTGCTGTTTTATGTGATCAATTTAAATTGTGTAAACAGATGTTGCCATTCTGATCAGATCATCTACACCTTTGCATTTTGTGGTCTAAGCACAAGAAACTACTGAATTGCATCTTTTTCCGAGGGGAGGAAACTTCAGGATATTTAGTTTACCTTGGTCATATTCTAGGTTGACCTCTATCTACTGCAGTGCTACGTTACAGTCATTGACTACTAGCTCTGGGATTTGTAAAAAATAAACATTTACAAGAAGAAAGAGATTATTTCATTGTCAAGACAGAGATTTCCCGCAAAGGAATTGTTAAAACATTTGCAAAGCCAAGGAGAAATATTTCACAGCGGCACTGATGGAAAAGCTCTGACTGAGGATTTACAAACCATGTGTGAAACTATTTCAGAGAGTTCTTAATCACTAGCTTAAAAAATCAGCAGGCTCTCTGAATGTCACTGGTATCAAGGATTTTTTTCTTTTTAATTGGCAATGCTTGAACTGGGTATGAGAGATTTTGTGAGGTTATCAGAAAGGCGCAGAAAGTACAGAAGTGACAGAGTGTCATGCTGCACTCATTGCAGAGGTACCCTGTCACAAAACATTTATTGAACCACCAGAAAATTTGCAGAATTTTGCTTTGACTGGGAGAGGGGGGAATATAAAAAGTCACCTTTGGACTATGTGTTGTGCCCTCATTGCCATCCACATGGGAGAACGTTGATGGGCCATAGTCCAAGGGTTGTACCAGGCTAGGAAATTCTGGAGGAGAGGAATGTCTGTTCCCCTTAGAAAGGAGTCATCTACAACTATAGCCCATCTGCTCTTCCTCGTGGGGATGGTCATGGCACAGAGGGCAGGCCTTTCTGACCTCACAGAACCCTGCTCAACATTTCATTTTCTAACACAGGCTGGGTTTATACCAGCAAGGAATCTCAGCCTCCCAAGCGCTTCAGCAAACCTAGATCAAACTTCTGGTCAAAACCTTAAAATTATTTCTTAAAATAATCCTGGGCCAGGCCCAGCTGAAATATCCTCATGAGTTTGCTCAAGTGGTACCACAGGAATGCATCAGATCCTTCCATAGAGCACAGCAGGCTGCACAGACCTGTCCTACAGCAAATAGCCACCAGCAGTGGAGTATGGAATACCTGTTCCAAACAGACTGGCTTTCAAATGAAACAACCACTGGTTGCATTCAAAATTGCACCAACTTTCCTTCAAGGACTTCTTACCACAAAAATAAAGGAATAAAATATCAACTGTCACTTCAGCTGTTAGGGTAAGGCAACTGCATTTGTCTCTCTTTTTCTTCCTCCTTACAAAAAATTAACTAAATACAAAAGCCACATCCCCTTCAACGATGTCCCCTGCTATTACAATGCAAAACATGAAAGTGTTACCCCAAGCATCAAAACTGGGTGTAACACAGGTGTAACGTAGGGCATGATTCCTATTCATGTTTCAGAGACCAAAACAGTCTTAGGAAAGAGTAACTAGTCGTACATACAATCATTCCCAACGTGCAGAGCGTTAGGATATAATTTACATTTATTAGGCTTTGTGGGGTGCAATAAGTCATTGTTTTCATTTGTAGAGCATTATTACGGGAGTGATTTAACAGAAGAAACTCTTCCTCGTGGCCTAGGGGAGTGAAAGGTTAATGGCATAATGAATTCCTATAAAACAAATAGTAGACTTTGGCCATCCTTCAGCCAGCGGGTGGTAAATTAGCAGGTAATAAAGTGTGTATGCAATCTGCATTCACAGGCCAATAAATAATATGCAGGGGCTAGTTTTACCTGCTGTAGTTGACAGTGCATTACTGGGACTATATAGCTCCATAGAATCTAGGAAAGGTACAGAGAGCAAAAGGCAGCTGATTTTGCAGTATCCTGACTTTTAGCACTGATATATGTCAGATATTACCAGAGAGGCATATCTAGAATATTATAGCAATGCTCATAAATTCCACATTGCGCTGTAATAAAGTACTGCTTCTACATGTGGCAAATACACATTCCTGTGGTCCCTTCAGCTCGTGACATTTACGCTGCCATCCTATTAACTGGTGGCATTTCATTCTGGTAATGGAATAGCTGAGGGAAAAAAAAAACCCTTAATATGCAGCACCACACTGAAGGCCAAAAAAACCCCCCATCCTAAAATAATATGCTAGCTCTCACTATGAAAGCTAAACATATTAGCAATATATTTCTATGAATGGGCATTAATTACCATTCGGGCAGCAAGATTTGTGTAATGTGTTGATGCTCTCCAGCTACAAGAAATACTGCTACATGGCAATGCAATTAAAGTATTATTAAAAGGGGAGGGGTTTTTTAGCTGTGATTGTGTTCTTTGTCTTAACCAGACTCAGCTTTCCCTTTTCTTTCCAGTGTTGGAGGAGAACAGATCCCCAGTTAATTCCTTGCTGTTGTTATTTATGGTTCTGTAGCACACAAGTCAAGATGCAAGACCTGTGTAAGGGGCACTGTAGTGAATCCCAAAGCTGAAAGTAAATTCAGCAGCTCTGTTAAAGTTTGGTTTTGTTCTATATTTCCTGGGGAAAGTATTATCTGACAGGTAGCCAGAGGTTTGGGATAATATTTGAAATCCTTTTGCCCTGAAGAAAAAAAAAAATAAGCCAAGTGTCTGAGGGTATTAGGATGTTGATCTCTTCAGCCTGAACAGATCATACAGTGACTTTTGAAAACCTCATTCCAAGCCCTGTGTAGCTGGTAATGCAATCAGCCCCAGAGGTTTGCCTGTACTGCAAAATGAAACTGCTACATTAAGCTGAGTGGCACCAACCAAACAAGACCCAAGGTCTCCTCGGGGCCCCAATATAGTTATTGTTTGCATTTGATATTTTTTCCCCCCCGAAAACTCCCTGTAGCATGAGGTCTGCACAGCAGGCAGGGTGGTGCTTTTTTAGCATTTAGAGGTGGCAGAGGGAGCCAAGGCTGCAGGGACAGTGCTGGGGACTGTCCCACACCAACTGCCAGAGTTCCTGGGGGCACTGCCTGCAACTGGGCATCCCAAACTGCTCCCCAGAGTTATCAGCAGAGACTGATACCAGGCATGAGTAACATGATGCTATAATGATTACAAAGTCCCCTCTTCAGCCTATATATTTATACTTAATTTTACTAATTTTAGTGACTGACTTTATTACTTTCAGGGCAAGTTACTTCTGTGTTATATAATTTTATAGATATCTGCTGAGAGAGGAAAAATTCATATTTAAGCTGTTAGCACTATCCCAAATGACATTCTCATTCGGGAGCTGATTAAAAGAAACAAAACACTAAACCAACCAGACCAAAAAACTGTATCAATCAGGCCCCAAGTATGTTATTTCTATCTTTCAAGAAAACTTTGTATGAATAAAACTTCCAAAAAAAAAAAATCAAAAATATTATGGTTATTCTATTTACTATGGTGCTTCAGTGAGGGTATGAAAAATTACATTTCCTGAAATGACAGAACAGCAAAAAAGCAATTAATGCCAATACAGTGATATTAATGTCATTGAATTGCTGCTTTGATGAGAATAACAACTGCCCTATCCAACAACTACAGACAGAGCAAGGAATTCCACAAGTCAGTCCATACCTCTTAGTTTGTCATTTCCATTGTTCCAGCCTCAGTTTAACATTAAGCTTATTCTTATAGCAGTTCAAAAAGCCAAAAAGGGTTTATCCAGAATATGAACTGCCTCTAAGATGATCATGCTTTTCTGTAAAGCAATATTTACCTGAGAAGGCTGGGAGGAACTGTTATCTTTGACTCCCTGGTCTTGTTGAATGGATGTCTCATTGCTTGCATACCCACCTGGGTGCAGACCCTGGAAATAACAGGGGTTTTTAATTTAAAGAGTATTTATTGCTTTTAAATACATGACATATGACTCAGTGTGGGAGTTCAAGGTTTTTACTGGGTGATAAAGGGGGCATTCAGGAGCCCTGCTGGGTCACAGGCATGGCAACCAGCTTCACAAAATGCTTCACTTCTGTTCTGCTTCAAAAACCACACCATTGTTGTGACCAGGGTAAGGAACAAACAGGCAATTATGGATTGCAATGCTAGTTTAATCTCAAACATTGCCTTTTCTACCAGCACCACGAACAAACTCAGGTGCACATATTTGCACCTATTTTCAAATGGTTAGAACAATCTACACCCTTGCAATTAGCTTGTAATTTTTAATACCTCCCCAAATATTAAGCAGACCACATCGTTTATGGTATCACACAGACCATAAGTCTGTTAGCCTGTGGTTACAATTCTCAGACCCTCCCGCATAACTGCATCTCGTCCAGGCTGAAATCATTTCGTCAAGAGCGAGATAACTATAAGACATTTTGAAACCAGAACTGACATCTCAAAATCTATCACTGAGCCTCTCGAACTCGAGCTGGGAGCCCAGGACAGGGAGCCATTTCCATGCTGCTGGCTGGAAAGCCTGCCCTCGGACACGTGCACTCCGTGCTTGGACAAGGCTCCCGAACGCCTCCCTTCCCTCAGCCCCATCTGCCGCGGTGGCACGGTGCCCGCTCGCCCGCGACGGTGCCAGCTTCTCAGTGCCAAGCAAAATGAGTTTAGATGGGCAGTTTGTGAGCTGTGCCACTTCTGCAGAAAGCCCCTCCTCTGTGAGGGCACTGGCACACGGGTGCCAAACGCCACCTTATACTTGGATGGCATCTGCTGCTACTCGCTCACGTGCCAAGAGCACAGCACCGAAATGGAGACGGTAACAAAGTCAGGAATCTACATTTATCTGTGCTCAAACACAAAGCCATCAGAACAACACAGGGCATCAAACTCCACGTTAAACTAGATCACGACCTCAGAAGGGGCTGGTAAGGAAAATTCACAACTGATGATGACATCAAGAAACAACAACAACAACAAAAAAACCAACAAAAAACACGAGGGCAAAAAGGTCCAAACCACAGTTTTGCACCTACCAAAAGGACTATAAAGCACCTAAACTGCATCGGCCTTGTTGTGTTCTCCAATATATTTACAGTGCAAGAATTAAAGATGTTCTGTTAAAAACACAACTCAAATGCAAAGGCACAAAGAAAATCAAACAAACAAAACCAACCAAAGTCTCACTAGGAATTCCTTAGCCTGTCTTCCATTTCCCTTCATAGATGTTTATGCTCTACTTATCCTCTTAATGGTCCAACATGTTAAACACTTGCCTATTCCAGACCTCATAAGCAGAAAAACATCACTTTCTTTCTAATGCAGAAGATTACAAATACTTAGAGCCTCTCTTCAAAAGACAATAAGGGTTCACTGATAGCTTTTTCCAGCAGCTTCCTCCTTGTCTGACCTCACTTACAAATAAGCTTCTCATATTCATTTCTTCCCCCTCAGAGGCTATAAATCCTAATGGATTATAATTAAATGTTATTTCTTTGTATTGTTTGTACATCAGGAAGAGGTTTCTGTTGCATTAGCAACTGTACACACACAGACACTGATGAACAGGCTCTCCCATAAAGAGTAAACAATCGTGTCTAGACAAAGGTGTCCCAGGTGCTGCTTGTCAGCTCGTTATTCCTCCCTCCTAAAATGAGGAACAAGACTAAACAGGAAAGATGTGTTGCCCCCAGCTTGCCACTTACTTCAGAGGTTGTGGGTCCAGGAAATTTTCATGTTTGTGTAAGAACAACACACAAAACTTTAATTATTACAACCCAGACCAGCTAATCTCTTTCTGATGCTTTGACTGCAATAATGGGTAAACTCTTTCTCCCTCTCTCCCCTTCTTGTCCACCTGTCACTGTTTTATGACTCAGACAATGATGGCCAGGCTGAGTCATGGCAAAGGCTCACCCCAACCCCTGTCTGCTCTAGCAATGGCCTGAGGGGGCTGTTTGAGTAAATACAGGTCAAGGTGCTTCCTACAGTGATTATATATCTAAAACTTTGTTAAGGAAACTTCTCTGACCATACAGGAGGCACTCTGGCAGTCCTACTCCCAGTACCAGAGACTTTCACTGCTGGGACCGAATGCCCTTCACAGTGGGCAGCTCCAGTGACCCAGCAGGTCCCCACTCGACTCCCCACACACCCCACTCACAGTCAAATAAGGTTTCCTTCAGCAGAGTCTCAGACACCCTAAAAAATTTAATCTTAGTGCAATTACGAGACAACAAAATAACAACCCGAGCTGGAGCCTCCAAGAAGGGACCTCACACAAGGGACCCCCCCGGGCTTTTATCCCCTCACAGTCCAAGCACAAGTCTCGCTCTTCCTCCTGAGCCCTCAGCTCCTGCCTTGTCTCTGGGTGTCCCTTACCTGGCTGGGCTACAGGTCCCCATGCCCTGTGTCATGCAGAGGGGCAGCAGTTCAAGGTATCTTGCCTTGGGCTTCCACCCAGAGCACCACCTGCAGCTCCCACTGCAGCTGCACCCCACGCTACCTGCACCCCATGAATTCCTCAACAACTTTCAGAGAGCTTCAGGTCTTATGCTTCTTTCTGTTGCTGTTGTAGTAGCTGTTAGGCTTTTCAGTCTAGTTTGTCTTTATGCAAGGTTTTCACAAGTAATTTCTCACAACTTTTTTTTTTTTTTTAAACAGAGGAAACACATTATTTTGTTAACACTTTATATTTCCAAAAGAAATCTTAATGAAATCTCTTCTTTTACTCTACATGTCTGTACTATATTTAGAGTGTTTGCACCTTGTCTGAACGAAGTGTTATCCTATTCATAGATCAGGCAGCCAGAACACACAGCTCCAGCCACAGCACATTACTCACCACTTTCTCACCTAGGCTGTCTATGAAACTCGCACCTCCAGGAAGAGGGATCCGTCTGATGATGTTACTGCCAGGGCACAGCAGGAGCACTCAGGCCGAGCTTAAATAGACTCCCTTGCAGGGGTGGATGGGGGTCCCAGGTGAGGGTCATTTGAGTGAATTAGTGCCTCTCCTGCTCTTCTTTTGGCTACGCTTTCTGCTGTGCTGATACAGAACTGCATGAGTCATACATTCAGGGGAAATGTTCCTATCACTTAGCGAGACTTCTCAGCTTCACTGTCCTTTGCAAGAATTGTCCCAGATGGGTTTTTTTGTGCTGCAAATTATTAAATAAACAGCTTTCACCTATCCAAGTATTTCGTCTGGCTTCCCATAAAGCTAGCTTTTTTCTTCACTCTGTAATTAGGCACATTTGTACCTCAACCTCAGGTACCTCATCCTGTCTACAAGACAGCTTTGATCAGGCCAAGTTTTAAACACCGTTTCCACAACCACATATCATTTTTGTCAACTGCTATTCAATTCAATGGGAATATAAAATAAGGTCTGACTGGTTTACCTGGAATTGAATCAAGCATATGATCTTGTAACTGCTGAAACCCCTATTGCAACTAGCACACATGTCAGTTCCTGGCAAACCAGCAATATTTAAGGAACACTTAAATATCAATATTACTTTTAAGCAAGGTGTGTAGCACTCCTACCGCTCTCAGACTTTAGCACATACTTAAATTTAAGGACAAGATGAAATATTTTCCTGATCCTGTAATATATATTAGAACTGCTTTTAATTGCAATAGTTGGTAAACATGTCTTTCACACTGTACTATCACATATGTTGCATTGCCAATAGCTGCTAGCATTTTTCTATTTCACTGTGCTGCCATTTCATCAGCACAGACTGTGCTGTTGTTTTTATTCTCCAAAACAGCCTGACTTTATGATTCTGTTCATTTCACACCTGGCAACACAGAAAATGCAGAGGTAATAGAGGGGAAATCCTTTAGCAATCAGTAAAATGACTGGAGCTGCAGTGGAGATGTGTGTTATTTTCTCAAGCACCAATAAAACGCATGTGAATTTTCAAGGGAGCTACAAGTCACTTTTTGCTCCTGTGACATGCCAGCAAATGCTCACGTTATCATTTAATAATATGGAAGATAGCACTCATCACAGCCCTCCCTCCCACAGCAAAATACCAGGGCAGCAGGTGTTGCAATACAAAGTACCTCAATGAGAAATACACGTAACAAACACACTGTTTATGCTAGAAATAGATTTTATGTAGATGTATAGAAATACAAAAGCTCACAAACACACACAGGTACATAAAGGCATGTTCTTCTATAGCTTATAGTAGTGAAAAAAACATGGAATATATTTTTACCTGAAACAGGATGGAAAGTTTAGGCTCTGAAAAACAAGTCCAGTAACGACTCTGTAGAATTCCACGTCTGTGGTTTCATGATGTTGTCTTGGTCGGTGTCTTGGAGCTTAGTCTTCTGTAGAGGTGACAGGTTTCTTCCTGAGACTGGGAAGACAAACTGCATGTTTTCCAATAGGTATCAATAGGAAAGAAACCACTAATAAAATTCTACATTTGAACAAAAAATTTCCATCGTCTTCATCTAAACAGTGGTTTATGTAGCCATTTTTATTCAGCACCAGTAAACAATCTACAGGAGGAACCACCTGTTGTTATCATGAATCCAGATCCAACCCATCTTCCTCACCTGTGGATGGCAGAGGTGAGGAACCAGAGCATGGGCTATGCCTGAGTTCCCCAGGATGATTTCCTGCAAGATATCCAGAAGAAATACCAGAAGAAAGACCTGAAACATGCAGAGAAGTCAGGTCTGGATGAATTGAGGAGCCCTCATCTTAAACAGCTACCTCAAGACATGTAAGAAGGAAAAAATTCCTCAAGACAAGAGGATGTGGAATAAAAGAGCACCATCACAACAGGGATTACATCCATGTCCCATGAAGGACAAAACAAAGGCAACCAAGACTTGGAAACTCTTCTTCAAAACTGTTTCACACACTCCTGACCTTATTTCAAATTCATTTTCTCTGAACTTCTTCCGAACAAATTTCTCTGCACGTTTCACTATAAAAATATACTTCAAAAAATGCCTGGTGATTCTACATAATTTGTAAGTGCTGTCATTTTACTAATGCCAGCTAACTTTGTCTCCCAACGTTTCATTTACTGCTCCAATCAATATTGAGACTGCAATGGAACAGGAGCTCTTCTAGTCAAATATATGCTGAGAAACTCTTTCACAGTACAGACAGTGTCCCCACAAGATATATAAGGAAGGGATTCAAATGTAAATTAATTGCTTAATAAAGCATAAAATAATGAACAAACAACTAAAGAAATTAAGCACTAAACTGAGTATATTTGCATGAATATTTAACATATTTTATTACATTTTAATAAAAATTATATTCATTTGATGACATTAAATACATGCATTCTTAAAAGCTTCAAAATGGTCACACAATCGACATATGAAAGACTCTAAAACTTTTGGGAGGAAAAACTTGCTATCTTAGCGATATTTTGTAAATTATCATTATCCCATTATTTCTAGTAAAAGCTTTTGCTTTAAAAACACCCTTCCAAAAATGTAATGTGCAGAGAAAAAAAGCATGCACTCTAATGACTTTATGCCTTGTTTTTTTTCAGTGAAGGGCAAACCTGCAGGGGCCTAAGGGAAGGCAGGCAACAAATGTCATCTTTCTTTTCATATAATTGTATGCCCATGTGCTTTATGTAATCAAAATAAATACTTCAATTTGTTACATATTTTGCTGGAGGAACAGAAGGCATATGGAAAAAAAAGCCCTAGAGGCAAATGATCTCACTCACCTGGAAAACAATGTGTGTGTTAATAGAGTAATTTGTTAATTAAAGATTCTAAGATGTCCACCAAAGCCGTTTATTTCTGAATTACCACTTCCTAGAGTTAAACAAGATCCCTGGTAAAATGTAATTAGAAACTCTATTTTTCCTCTGTCTCAGGCGTTCCTGAGTGCAATCAATTTGACAAGCATCCCAAGAGTTACCTCAGCAGCAGATGGTCTCCGCGCCAGCCCAACGAGCACAGCGCACCAAGAACAAAACAGATAAAACAATTTCATGCCTGTCACTAGAGCTCGAAGATACTAGTGCTGTGTTGAAATACCTTCAAGCTAAGCTCCTTACTGGTGCTGCAACACAAAACTGAGGAAGACAAAAAAAAAATACTCATTTATAAGACTCCAAACACAGTGAATTTTTTATTTTTTTTTTTTCAGGGATGCTTAAAACATAGGTAGTGGTGCTTCAGCTCACTGTAGCAAATGTGAGAACTTGGCCAATAAGACACCTGGGAACACTTTCTATTTCAACCACGTGGCAGCACGTTCTAAAACTTTCAGCTGGTTTTTCTTGTTCTTTAAAGAAAATAAAAAAGAATTACCGTGTTCTGTGTTGAGAACCCCAATAATTCCGGTTTTGTTTTTCAAAAAGGAACAAAGACAAATGACTACCTTGCCCTTACTGCAGTAACATGACACAAGGAGGTAAATAACCCACAGGTGTGTGTTATTCAGGAAAGCCCTAATTCCGAGGCTTTCCAGGGGGGCTTTTTAGGTTGCTATGGCAGGAAGAAGGAAGAATTGTTCTGGTTGGAACCACGGTGTTTGGCTCTAATTCCTGCTGCTGCTGTTGGCTGTGCTCCCAGGTTTAACCCCATAGGTGGTACTGGGCTCTCCATCCGTCCTGAGGCAGGAACCCAAAAGGATGAAAGAAAGTTGTGTGGAGGGATGGTATTGGAACTGGGGGTTGTTTTTAAAAATGCTCTTCCAGGTGCAAAATGTAGTAGGAAGACAGAGTTAATAGCTCAATAAGACAGTGGGGAACTGCATGGTACGGTTGCTTCTGTTCTTAACAGAGGAATTTGGCCAAAACTGTGGGCAGATCATATTTGAATTATAAGTAATCACAGCAGAGCTTCTTTCTGGCAAGTTGCTAAGAGACGTACTTAAGATTTCAAAAGCTCCATTGTCTGGTTCCCCAGGAAAACTAGGAAATTCTATAGCAAAGAAAACTCACTGTATATATTGTAATGAGTCTTAGGAATTTCTCAAACAAAAGCATCAATGCAGAGCTATTCTTATTTCTGGGCCCATCTTAGGTATAAGCACAGCTTATCACACCTTTACCCCCTCTTGTTACAGGTGCTGCTCTGTGGTTCTTCACTGAATTGTTTATAAGGAATTGTTCCTTTAATTAAGCTTATAAATTTACAGTTATAAAATTTAACAACTGATATTAAGAACAAGATGTTCTCTTTGCATTAATACGTGCCTTGCCATATATAAAGTTTATAAAAACATAGCTGTCTTGAGTGATTAAACCACACAAGTACTCATTTCTAGACATAAAAAAACCTAAATCTGCCATTTTAAATTTTTGAAACACATGCATGTTATGCATCAGTCAGAGAATGTACTATCAGTGTGGATACTCCTAAATACTAATCCACTGCAAAGTCATTTTGCTGTAGTAAGCATTTAAAAGCAGAGAAATTAAAGCTGATGTGAAAATAACTCAGCAGGAAGATTAGTACACTAAACCCAGCATGGAAGACATGATAGTCCATGAAGACATATGGTAAATAATGGTATTCTATATGCCAGATAATCAGTATTTCTGGAAAAAAGTTGCAGAAGGCCCAGCACTGCAGTAGTAAAATGCTTAACTCAGGAAATTGGTAGTTTGTGTCCCGGCTGTTACTGACAGAGAGGTTTTATCCTTCTGTGTTGGCCACTGTGTCTTCAAAGCTCGGTGATTCTGAAAGTCCCCCTCTCTTTCTGGAGTTACATTTACTTTTGGCATTTGGCCTGATTTCAGCCATTTAATATTGGCTCACTTTGCAGCTCTGAGAAGTGGAATGGTTTCTTCTGCCTATGTTTCCTGGATACTTCGTCATACCTTTCTTGACTTTAAATAAAAAAAAAAACAAACCAGTACTCTATAAACACAACCAACCCTTGTTTTTCTACTCCAACAGTCAGATATGGAAGTGAGCCAAGAGTCCCTCACACCCACCAGCTTCTGTACATCAAAAGTGATGAAATTATTTTCCCTCTTTTCCTGCATCTTACCTCAGTGGCCTCTCTAATGACCATTTTGCTTCAGGCTGTGTCTGAACACCAACCCTTCACCTCTCCATCTCACCACCTCTTTCAGCCTGGATAATTTTTCTTAAGCCCGTTCTGGCCAGAGAGAATATATTTAGTGCATAACTAGCGACACATCAAAATAAGCCGCCGAAGGTTTCCAAGTTTCTTTCCACAATGCAGCCCAACATGCAAGGAGAAAATACTTCATTTTAATCCTTTTAATTATAGAATCATTGAGGTTGGAAAAAAGCTCTAAGATCATTGAGTCCCAACTATGTTCAGCACTGCACCACGTCCCCAAGTGCCACATCCACAGGCTGTTTTCGTGCACTTCCAAGGGGAGGATCAGTGGGGAGAGTGAAAACCTGGAGAGGCTGTCCCACATTTACACAGATATTCTGGCACTTTGCTAGGAGAGGGACAAAGGGGAAACTGCTCTGGGAAACAGAGGGGAGACAGAGCTAATGGATTTTCCAGTAACCTGCACATTTCCTTGATAAGGACCTGTGGGAACCACTGCTCCAGAGGTCTGGAGAGAATCCCATTGCACGTTGCCTGCTCAGCAATCTCTCTCTTAGATATTTGTGCTGCAGAGCAGTATTTGCAAGTTCAGGAAAAAGTCTAAGTGTATTAGTTTGGCACTAAAATGAAAAGGCTGAATACAATTACCTCTTCTAGGAAACTAATATATGTGCAAACTAAAATAAAAACCAGGAATACATTACTGGGCTAAGATAAATCTGTTAATTCCAGTTTCTTTGCCTGCGTTGTTCATCAATGGGAAATGTGAATAACATTGCACGTGTATTCTTTTATTTCTACACAGAAATATTTTTAAAGAGAAATCTGACTGAAAACCATGGAGCTACTCCTCAGACTTAATCTGGGAACAGTACTTTGGAATATATTGTAAGGCTACAAACAAACTGTGTTCTTATGGCTGCTGGCAGAGCAGTCAGTAGATCAATGCCTGGCAAATCAATAAGATAATCTAAAGGGACCACGAGAAAAACTTGAAACTTGAGATGCTGAACCAAAGTGAGAACAGCTCTGCCACTGTAACTGAAATGTGTCTTAAATTACCTGGAGGAACAAAAGGGTTTTGAAAACCTTTGACCCGTTCCGTTTGATAGAATACAACTTAACTGTAAAATAATCAATAAAACTAATAATTCCCTTAACATCTACGAGTGAAAAGGTTTCACTTGATGTGGTGAATAAAATATGTAGCATAATTGCAGTTTGTTAAAAACAAATCAACTCTTGATGAAATCTACAGAGATTAGAAAATATCACTCGCCAAAAAGGAACTTACACTATTACAAGCAAAGCATAAATAAAAATGGGATCTACCCAAACAGTGCATCCAGAGAAAACTGGATTAAGTTATTGGTAAATACATAAAAAAGTAAAAATTCTCACATTTTATGCCCGGCCATGCACCTTTAGATACAGCCACCTGTCATTCCTCTGCTTCAAAATTTCACAACTGATTTTTTCTACCAGTGGCAAAAGGCGAAGGAAAATGCAAACAGAGTTGCCTAAAACCTTCCTTAATTTGGAAAATAATCTGGGATTTGAACGCCACTCACCAAATCTGGATTTTAATTTTTTTTGTGAGGTTGCAGGACAGGGTTTGGTGGAAATGCTGACTTATCTCTGCTCCAAGCATGAGACTCGGCTGTCCCTTGGAATCCCACTTCTGTTTGGGCTGATTTTTAGCAGTGTGCCTTGACTGAAATCACGAGGATCTGATGGTCTTCCATGCAGGTCAGACATGGCTCTGTCCACCTGAGTCCTCAAAACCTATAAGGATGGGTGTTCTAACACGTCCCTGGGTAACTTCTCCCACTACCACATGAATTAAAAAAAAAAACACCTTCTCCCAGCCCAGAAAAACCCTCACAAACTCCACAAATCCCAAACCCAAAAACCCAAACAAACCCCCCCCACATCTATATGCAGAGCTTCAAGCTTCAACAGAAGTATTCATTATACATCAATATATTTTTATAACTAAAATTAAAATTAATAGCAAATGTGCTAAATAAAATACATATTTAAAATGACATAACATTTCAAAAAGGGATTTAATCTCCCCTCATGCATGTTTAATTAAGGCTTTAAATTATACCATCCTGCACTGTTGAGAAATGGGTTTTTTACATTATTGAGCAATGGTTTCACATCATGCCAAAGGTAAAAGCAAGATCAGAGCGGTGGGGCTTTTCTCATTGGTTCTGGAATGTTTGTGTTCACTGATTGATATCCATCATATGATACTTGGTTATAAGAAATATATAGATATAGATATGGTATATTTACCAGTGTTTCTAATACATTCCCAAATCCACTAGAACTATTTTATCAATGACAAACCTTAACAGTTTATACTGACCCAGTATTAGCTACAGTACATTACAATTCACACCATCATATAGTTCATGACCTGGCTTTTCAACCAACAAAGGGGTTTTTCTCTAATTCTTAATAACAAGACTCTCCATTCAAATGATGTAGAAGAAGGTGGGACATAAGCACAACGGCCTGAAATCAGTCATCCTAGTTAGTTGGCTTATTCTTCCTAATTGGAAAATGAAATATTACACTACTTTGGATGCTATTATACTAGGAAACAAGTCAGGCATATACGTGCAATTTGCTCTATAGTATTTCATATATATATTCTTCTGAGGCAGTTGTGCTGATTTTAGCTGAAAGTTTTTGTAATTTTTTTTTCAATGATGACTCTTCAATTGAAAGCGATGTGAAAATGTGGATCTAAATACAAACCCATACACATATTTTATCTGATTTAACATTCCATTATCATCACATAAGTCAAACAGTAGGTAAAGCCCAGATATAGGTCACCAGATATCTAGAGAGGTCAGTAATTTGACATATAAACTATAAGACATTTACTGCAGATGCCCATCACTGGATGTATTGACAGTGAGCAGCACTAAAATTCAAAAGCAGCTTTGGTGATTTCATGAGAGGATTTTTAAAGTAAAGTGCTGCTTAGACAGAACAGAATTATCACACTGTAACCCCAAATATCTCGGGGGACACACAAGAAATGTTGCACAAAATGTTCTTTACTCATATATAAAGTGTACTTACCTGAACAGGCTCGGTACAGAGCTTTGTTATACTGCAGCCATGCCCAGCTCTTTGGCACTGGGTGAATGCACTGCCTGGGTGTTATTTCAGCTGGGAGTTTTTCATCTTTATTCTGCAGCTGGTATTGTCTCTGTACTATGAATTTCACGATGTGAAGCTGAATTTAAGTGGAGTCATTTAAACGAAGTTGTGCTCCTGGCTACATATTCTTTTAAGGGATGGGATTTCGCCTCATATGCTGCTATGATCAGTGGTTGCTCTCCTGGTGGTTTCTCCATGGCATTGCAGGCATAAAAGAATTGCACACTACTGTAAGTGGAGGGGGGGGAGAATAAAAAATAAACCTCAAAAGTTCAAACAGCAACAAAAACATGAACAGCACACTACTGTAGAAATAAACCTCTGTAGCACATGAAACCTGAACACAGCATCAGCAAGGCTGTAGAAACAACAAGAAGGGAGGAGAGAAATGAGACTATCCACTTCATTCATAGACCAAATGCCATTTTATGGCAAGGGAAAGTGGCCACCTAATCTGCCTCTTTTTGTCAGTACCCATTGATTAGTTAGAGATCATGCACTCGTAATGTTGGTTTTATTAAGATGCCACATCCTCTATTTCCAGAGCTCACAATTTCAACTGTGAACATCTGAATAACAGGCAATGTGAGTAAATAACAGGGTTAGGATCTACCCTCCAGTAAGAAACATTTCCAGCTAGTGGCTTCTCTATTTGTAATTGAAAACCATTGATTTAAGCATTCGAAATGAAAACGTTTGCTTACAGTGTAGTCTCTTTGCAGATCAGAGTTATATTCACAACAGCTGTGATTATGATCACTCTTCTAAACCCTCAAAAAACAATTAAGGTTGCTGCAAGGGAAAGCATTCACAGCGACAGAGCAGAACTGATGAAGAGTAGAAGGCAATGGGCATGAAAAGCCTGTTCAGATCTCATCAGTTCTGTAGCACACACAGGCTGACAAGGAGCTGTATCTATCCTGTAGAGCAGGTTGTAGCAGAAAAGATAACAATGCCAATCCCCTCTGAGCTACACATTTACACACAGCTGGAAATATACTTGCCTTTTCCCTCCAGGTTTTTTTTCCTCAGGGTTTTATAACTTTTCTGGAGAAAGCTCATTTCCGAATATCTGCCTTTTAAATGTTGTCTGTCAAAGTGACGTCAAAAGATATTTAGTTAGACTCAAATACACTGCTTTCTGTTTATAAGCTTCCTTGTTTCTAGCATTCCTATGGCAACATACTCCATACTGTCACACAACACCCACCTGGGACAGAAAGATAAAGGGAAATTATATATCACACAACGGAGTGTACTTTCACATTCTTTCAATGTGTCCTGATAGAAAAGTATTTACAGTTTGGGTTGTTATTTTTCAGTCTGGAAGAAATCTGTACACAGCAGTGACCTGTCACATACACACAGAAAATCACTGGTCATCACACTCACTGTAACAAGAAAGACTTCTTTGAAAATGTGCAATTAATTCAATGACTTTCTTATTTTGTGCTATATCAGAGAACAATTTGAGGGGAAAAAAAATTGTGTGACGTATCAAAACTGAGCACCTGATTATTTATAAGATCCAGCTGTTTATAAAACCCAAAATATTGCCTGTTCATGAGCAAAATCTAACACAGTATCTCTGAAAAATCTGTTGTAAGCCTGTCCTTTCCTACACAGCACCTACAAAAACACCCACTGAAAATGAGCTATAGGTTACTAACTTCAAGCAACCATAAGCTTAACCATAAATAAATCAAGATTCAAGCCTATTTATTTCATTATATGCCAGTGAAAGAATCCACTCTGTTTATGAATTCTGCCAGTCTAGTAACAGTAAGGCAGTTCCTCTTGGTTGCTTTGTTTTTTTTTTTTCTCATTGTCTTGCTAATTAGTATTTGGGACAAATGGATAAATTGTCATATTTTGTAATCTCAACAAGCAAAAGCCCAGACGTAAATTAAGAACTGGATTTTTTACATGTCTGATTTCTCATTAAAATGTAGATACCTATCACATGTACCCAGGGATCTGCTGTTGTTTGATTTCACTGTTTCTTCCAGGCCGTTTTCCCACAACTGTTTTTCCTGGTCCTTGTAGAAAAAAAATTGACCTTACTGCAAGACATGGTGAGATATCCATATACAGAAAAGAGAGTTATTTATGGGTACTGAGAGTGGAACAGGCTCTTACTTTAAGGAACTGTAAAAAATGGTCTTTAAAGTCTTCAGAATACCTATTAGATCAAAATCAAGCACTTCCTATAATAAGTGCACAGCCAAAATGATGGCTGAATCATTTACACACTAACTGAAACACTAGAGAAATATATGGTCCTGGATTATTCCTCAAGTCCTGGGAAATGAGGAGCACTTTCTCACGTGCATCATTTCCCCTGAACGCACTTTATTACTCAGAGTGAGAGGAAACGAGGACCCAGGTTCTGAAAAATTGATTTAAAGCTGGATTAGTGGCACTGCTGAACGCTGTCGCTCCAAACCTCTGCAACGTTTATGGACCCTGGCCAGCGTTTATGGTCTCATTACAATCTGGGATCAAATGGAGCTGCTGCAGAATGCCTCCCTCTTCCTTCAATTCATGGGGCGTTCTCTGCATTTCTTTCAGAAATTATTTCAGTTTGCGTGAAAAAATACGCTAAGGATTTACGGAGTAATTTTTTTTTCCTAAAATAATTTCTGAAATTAAAAGAGTGAATTTGGTAGCATTAAAAACATTGTACCTTTCTCTCTTCCTAGCTGACAACTTCATGAAACTTAGAATAAAACATATTTCATCTGTTGATGAACTGTATTAGAAGATAAGTGTATCCACTACATCAGAAGGCAACTGCAATTGTCCCAGTCTTCTAAATGAAGCAGAGAAAAAGTCACATGTCACATTTGTGACTAAGATAAAAATCACATCCATGACCCTTCCTTTTTGTCTTCAAGTACATTCTGCTCCTCATAAAATAATAAACACTTCAGGATCCTGCATGTGTTCTAGTGTGAATATCCAGGGCTGTCTGACAGTAACAGAAATTCCTTCCCAACCCTAAAACATACACAGAATGCCACAGACAGCAAGCCCCAGATGTATGCCAATGGTGAGCAGGAAAGGTTTCCTTTCTCTTCCTCTGCATTTTGCAATGCAAAACAAATCCCCAGAAAGAAAGGTGTGTTTTTAATCTTCCTTTTTGACAGCTCAGGTACCAACCGAGAGCTTTAAAACACATTAATCTGACAAGAAGCATCACAAGACACAGAATTGAGAGGAAACTAGAATTGTGTTTAAACTCTCAAAGAAGCAAAGGTTCTTTTTTTTTTTTCTCCTCAAAAAATACCTATTGGGATAAATAGTCATTTTCTTATTGTATAACAGAGCAAGTATATTAAAATTTCTGGATGACATGAAAGAAAAAATGTATTATTGAATGTAAAATTAATTCCCTTTGACAAATAACAAGAGAAAGCCAGCTCTCAAAATTTTCTCTGCCTGCAAAAGGAGGATGAATGTGCAAATCATGGCACAGACTTCAAAAGAAAAACAATATAGCCTGCAATTCTAAAATTACCAAATTCAGTTACTCTAAGATGGTATGGTGAACACACTCACTTGGTATGGTGAGATTTTCTAGGAAAATAATTGGATGAGATCCTATTTGTGGTTGTTTGCACACAAATATGTTATGCTTGGTACAATAAAACTACAAGGAAGTGAATGAGTCCATGAAGCTGATGATCCACGTGGTGGGTTTTTGGAAAGAGAAAATTCAAAATTATTCTCGTACAGGCCTAAAAAGCACACCCAGAACCATTTAATGGCTCCAGAAGGTCCCATAAGACTCAAAATGCTGTCAAATGTAGGCCCAGTTGAATATCCTGAATTCAAAATCCAGACCTTGGCTTGAGATTTCTGAGTTAAACTTCATAGAACCAAAAACTTACTGACAGAGACTAGTTCAGGCTAGAAAAACATACTCAGAGCAGCTCAACCAGACACAGATGATGTAACTGAGAATACACAGAGTTCAAGCCAAACCATTACCAACTTATTACTGCTTAAATAGAGCACTGACTGGGTAAATGTGGTTGTTGTATCGAGTCTGCCATTATTACCCGTTCCCAAGCAGGAAATAAATTCCATCTTATATTTGATTTTAAAACACATTAAAATAAGCTCCTTAAATGAGCTAACAGAGGGTACAGACAATTATCTGCATATAGTGAAGGTTGAGTCTGTAAGGTCCTGTGTCTCCCCCTCACTATTTTTCCCACCTCTGCAATGCTTCACTAACATCTCCAGTCCCTGTTTTTCCTCAGTGGCAGATCCTGTCCTCTGCTCCCAAATCCCAGAAGCCACTCTGCATCCTGTCACTGAGTATTCCCAGATTCTTCTCCACCTAACGCCCAAGCTCAGATGACTACCACCACAAAACTGAATTTTGCCTCCCTATGAATTGAGGCCAAGATAATAACATTAAAATTCTACTTTACTGCTTACCTGCACCAGGGCCGGTCCTAAAGGCTATTGAGAATTCCTGATAATGTGAGTACTTGGCACTATGGCTTTAGGATAAAATATAGACCTATTTTGCACATTATTTAAATTACCTTACATTTTTTATTTCCACTGTTATTAAACTGTAATGAATTTATTTGTTTATGGAAGTGTGCGCTGCATGTCTAGTACTGTTCTGTAATAGCTGGATTTAAAGCCAGACTCTGATTTCTATCCTAGACATCATTAAACAATTTATTTTCTGTGATAGGGGAATGTGCTCTTGGGCAAGAGCTCTCCATTAATATGAATTATTAACAATATGTATATACATGCATTATGGATTTCAAAGATGAAAAGAAAGCTCGCCAGTTATTCTATGGAGCTTTCTCCTTCTGCAAGGCCAGTGAATTTCAAACAGCTGTCTGCTGAACAGTCACAGACAGGGAATCCCTCATGACCACTAGGATTCTGCTCTCCCATTGCTAGAATTATATAAAATGCTTGAGAAAAAAAAACCAAAAAATCTCTGGTTGGCAATATCTGCTTATCCCTCCACTCCTTCCCATTGCAAGGTAACGTCGTAAAGCAGCTGACAGCTCCCCAAATACCAATGCTCCCCGGAGAGGGGTCTCAGCACTGTCATCAAAATGCGCGTAGTTTCACTTAAAAATATCTTACAAAGAAAGATATTTCTGTAACTGCAGCATCTGAGACAAACTGTGGCACATTTAGCTGCTCCTGCTGACGCATCTGCTCGCGATGGATGTGTTGAATCGCATCCATCAGCCGAGAGGAGCTTCACAGCCCTGCATGATAATGATAAACAACCGGGAGAAGAGGCTTTGATGCTGTCCATCACACTGCCACACCACAGCAGAGAGGGGCCAA